TCATTTCACATTAATTACAATTTCTGATATCAGACTTTTTCAATATAATAAATACAAACACATGTCACTGCTTTTGATGTTATTCTTTGACTATGCAGTACAGTAAACATATTTAAAGGAACAAAACATGTTTTACATGGTGGTCACCTTGAAATTTAATATGACTGCTAAATGACCTTGACCTAAAATGGCTGTCATAATGACCTCTGATGAAATAGTTCCAATCAAAAATTGAATTTTGTGAGCTTATGTATGATTTTGCTGTAAAACACGACCACTTACAAACTATTAAGATATTCTATGTATTTAACAGAGAAATGAAATTGAATGACCTTAAAGAACCATCTGACCATGTCACAAGTGCTATAAATCCTTGACCGTGAAAATATATTTTTAGACATCATAATTCTTATTGGAAGTTGTTTAAAAGCCGATATATTGATAAATATAGGTTTTGCGTGGCAGCCATTTTGAAATTTAAGATGGCCGCCAGAATGACCTCGAATGAAATATTGTAGTTCAAAGTAAAAATTTTAAATTCTAATATAAAATTTAACAAATTACGTAATTTTAAAGATACCATACAATATTTGACTTTGATTGATCTTGAATGACCTTAAATGACCCATTGGTGGCAATCTGACCAGGTCAAAAATTATATAATTTTATTCCTCGATCATAGAAACATACTCTTAGACATTAGAATTATAATTCAAAGTGATTTAGAAGCGGAGATATAAATAAACATAGGTTTTATAAGGCTACCATTTTGAAATCCAAGATGGCCGCCTTAATGACTTCGGATGAGGTGGTTCCTACCAAAAATTGAATGCTATGACCATAAGGAGCATGCAAAAAAATTTGGTGCTTTTGTCCGGAACGTCCACATTAAGTCCAAATATGGCCCTAAGCTGCCGTACTATTATGAGAAACTGATATGCAGTAACTGTTTATGCCAGATATGAATTGTGAATAAAAGTGGGACGACCCCACAAAAGATAAAAAAAAAAAAAAAAAAAAATTTTCAGCAAATAATTAGTGAGAACACGGCCTAATATTTACCACTCTTCTTATGGCATGCTAGACCTAGGCCTAGACTATGGCGAAATTAACTACAGCCTGGCTAGGCAAACCAAGGGCCCAGAGTCTAGGCCTAACACTAGGCCTATATCCTCAATGAGGATAGATGATGGCCTGGAAAGAACAGAGAACCTCAGTTCTGTCTGTCTCTGTACAGCGGCCAGGCTAGTATTACCGGTACAGCTAGGCCTAGCCATTAGGCTAGGACAGGCCTCTTCAAGCCTTTATTTACTACCAGGGCCTAGGCCTAGGAGGCCTACTACTATTTACTACAACTACTAGGCTAGGCCGGCCTACTAGGGGGTTAGCTTGTCTGCTAGAGTAGTAAACAACATTAACTAAATAATAAAACAAACCAACTCTTATCACTTGATAGTGAATACTGCTAAAATACTTACAAGGAATAGGTTTATAACTGCCTAACATCATGAAAGTCCAGAGAAAAATTCAAAATACTACCGCTTCCGTTGGCCCTACATGGAATGACAAATCAGCTGATGATCACTTGATGAAGTGACCAATCAGATTTGTGTAATTCGACACTAACACTAATTGGTTGGTGGGCATCAGTGCACAGTAGACAGGCTGTTGATAACATTTTGCTGTCAACCCCAAAGCATTGTTGTTAGGTGAATAGGTGAGGGGTTAAACTTAAGTTTAGGGGACTACAGCCCCCCCCCCTAAAGTGTCCATAAGGCTACCAATGTATTAGTGGTTCACACCAGGGACGTAGCAAGGATTTTGAAAGGGGGGGGGGGAGCCGTTATGCAAATTACGTATGACCCCGGCGGGGTCAAGGGGGCGAATCCCCCTGTGAAGTAGCGCACTCTGAACGTTCTTAGAACTGTTTGAGAGGATACAGTGAAAATTGCAATAGACGCATTATAAATAATCCAGATCCAGGAATTCGGAAGAGAAGTGAACCAGGGAGGGACTTTCACAGACCGAGGAACCACCCACCTCAGCCCCACCATGGTTGAGGCTGAGGTAAGAAATTTTATGATTAGGGCATCTCTAGATGGCCGGAAATTACACTCTCGCACTTCAATTTGAATATATTTTTCCTTTTTTTTCCTTAAAAAAATGAAGGTGGGGGGGGGGGCGTGCCTTGAATCCACCTCTGCTCAAAACATTCTTTATCCAGAATAGTCATAATCACGAAAAATGGACATGAAAAACCAGATCACATCCTAAAAACAAACAGCA